TTTTTTTATTTAAAAGTTTACTTGGTGAAATAACTACAGACTATGGTCTCTGTATAGCATTGCTGTATTTTCTTCTAATACTAAACATAATTTTGTCAGTAATAACAGACTTAATCTCAGTGATTCTGGTGGTGGTTAACTAATAGAGAACTTGTTTTCACAAGTTTAAGTACTCATTTAAATAATGATGCTCTACTTCAACTGAATTTCTTATTACAAGCGCAAGAGAGGCTGTGCAGTATTCTTACAGACTAAAAGCTTAGCAGCTACTAAAGCAGTAGTGAGTTGTCTTAACTGATAAACTTAAAAATTAGTGTTTTTTTAACTAACACGTTTTCTCTTTCAGGCCTTCAGTGGTTATTACAGAGGTGGATTTGAACCCAAAATGACTAAACGAGAAGCAGCTTTAATACTAGGAGTGAGGTAAAAGGAAATTTACTAGAAATGAAAGGTAAAAAGGAGGCTATGGTGTTACCTAGTTGCTGGCCTGGTTTGAAAAGGACATAATGCTTAAAACTGTCCTATGCCCAGCTTCCCCTGGAAATGTCACTACCAAGTCAGGACATACGAAGCAGCCTTTCAGGATTTTCTGTACTTATTTGGGATTCTTTGCTGCATATTAGCTTGCTTAAAGCTAACTCTAGCTGGACTTCCATACATCTGCAAATCCCTAGCACGCCCAAAAGCCACGTGCAGGTCCAGGTAAAGATACCATTTTCAAGAAGTCCTGGGGTTTACTCAGTATGGGGAACGCGGTCGTGCTGTTTGCTTATGGTTCCTGTCACTGCTGGTGAATTCCAGATGGATGCAGTGTGAAGGTGCTGCAAGCCCAGTTCTTGCATGTGGAGTAAATTCATCACTTCTAGAATATCTTAGGTATGAGTATGGTAACTATCCCTGCCAAAACTTAAAAAGACTTAAGACCAAATACACAAGTTTATCTAACAAGATGCAGAATAGGAACCATTTCTGTTTGAAGGCAACTTCCACCTGTGAAGTTTGTATACAAACAGTTTGTTGCTTTGTTTTGTTTTGTTTTTTTTTTAGTAAATCAAGAGCAAATTTTCTTTTATTTTTTTTCTCCAGCCTTTAGGAAGTTGTCCCTATAACTATGTTACAACATAGTTCTGTTTGTTTTCAACTGTGTGAATCTCCCCCACCATATTAGACTGCTATAGCTTGTCCTCTTCAGCGTACAGTATTTTGGAAAAAACCTTAGAAACCCTCTCCAGGACTTACATGCTACACATGAATAATAGGAAAAGAAAAACATACGTGTAAGCCAAAGAGTATATGGATAAGACAGACTGCTTGCTTGTTCTAAGACATTTTTTAAAGATATGGGGGATTTTACGAAGTTCCCTTAAGTCAGTTTTTCTCTCGCTTTTAAAGCCCTACAGCCAACAGAAGTAAAATTCGAGAAGCTCATAGACGGATCATGCTTCTGAATCATCCAGATAAAGGTAAGTAAATTAAGTCACACTGATTAATTAAGATGTGTTTTTAACACAGATTAATAGAACTGCATAGGGAAGAAGTGACTGACATGACTACCTCAGCTCTAAAAAAACCCCAGAAAACCCTGAGTGAAAACCAATTTTAGGTTGCCTTAATCCTTATGGTTTTGGAGTGTTATTTTTGTGTTTGAATGCTCTAAAGCAAGCAGACAGATTCAGCAGGTCACCTTGTTACTTGCTCTCTCTTCTGTGCATACCAGATTAAAACACAATTTGTTAAAATGAGACTTAAAATCGCATTAATTTTAGATGAAAGACTGGAGTGTATTTGTGCGCTTCATGTACCATGTGAGTCTGAGTTCATTTGAATGCATTGGGAATTCACCATAAATGGCAGGTATTGAGCCTTCTGTGTCTGTTGAAGACGCTAAACTATGAAATATTTCTGTTTGTGGTACTCTGAAGGCTCAGAATCTATTTATGCTTAAAGTTGATAACTTGAGGCATCTATACCTGTTCTAACTACCGTTTACTTCAGGAAGTCAGAATCATGTGTTAGTGCTTGGCATTTAACTTTTTAATCCTCACTTAAAAGGTAAAATGGCTTCCTTTAAAGTGGCTGTTGAACTTCATTACTTTACTTTTATGCACCAAAATTCAAAATAATCCTTGGGATATGCCTTTCATAGATAATATCTAGTGGATGTTAACTTCAAAATTAACTTCACTGAATATATGCAGAACCTAAAAGACTGCTAGGAGCATTTCGTATGTTTTACATGACCTAAATAAGTTAAATTAAGCTTCAAGTAAATAGAGTAATTCAGTACTAGTAAATGGTACACATGCTACAAATACGCTACAGATCTTTGCATCTCATGGTCAGTTACAATTTCAGTGAATTTGCGTTGTGCGTTCTGTTTCGGTATCTTTTAAGTCATTTGTACGTCATGTTAAAAACTGAACTAGTGCATTGGTACAGCAGCAGTTCATATGCTGGCCTTGAACTAGGCGGGGAAGGTTTACTTGCAGACTTGTTAGTGTAACGCTTCTGTATTCACAACAAACTTTATGCTAAGTCAGTCATTAGTGACCAATTCATTCATGACTGATAAAACTGGAGGAAAAAACCCCACTCCAGTAAACTAAAAGCAACCAAACAGGAATGAGCTGTGTGCACATTTAGCTACTGCCGTGACTGTATGTGTAAACTTGTATGGCTTCAGTCATAATGCACTTCGTTCTTTAACTTGAGTAACTTTCAGACCATACTCTCACTTTTTTTCCTGTGTACTGTGGCATTATTAGTAACACAGAAAGGAAGTCTTTTTTTCATCTGATGTGACATGAGGTTATCTTTCTTCTAGGTGGTTCTCCATATGTAGCAGCCAAAATCAATGAAGCTAAAGATTTGCTGGAAGACCAAGCTAAAAAATGAATGAGAGAGAAAATCAGAGGGTTTGTCCATGCAAATGATTATTTTTGATAAATGGTTTAAGAAAAATTCTAATGTCAGCCTTTGACTCCATATAAATGAAGCTGGAAATACAAATCCAGGGAGGTCCTTCCCTCCCCACTCACTACTTAGCCACTTTTTGGGGAAACGTGAGGGAGTGAGGCTTGAAGTTTTTTTTTTCCACAGCTGTTCTTTATTAAGCAGCAAAATCTGTCACTCAGAAATATTTTCAGTGTAAAAGAGTAATAACTTGGTTTGGCCAGTGCATGTTACCAGATACATGTAGACTTACGTGCTGTTACCTACTTTTTGTTAAACTAGCTATGTTTAAAGTTCATGCTGCTGTTCTTTCATATGCCAAAGTTAGCATGATGAACTGGTTTGGGGAGGGGTGGAAAAAATCAAGAGGATTTATTTGATGGGAAGAAATGGGACAGATGTGTGGTTGTCTCTGACTGAAGAAATAAAGTATAGGAAATAATGCACTCAGTTGTCTTTGCCTTGTGAAAAACAAGGTTAGTTGAGAACAAGGTTAAGTGTTACTGATGGGTCTGGAATGTCTCAGATTTTTTAGTAACTTTCAGTTTTTAATGGATTTTATAGCATTTAATAAATTTGAAATTTGTAATATAAGTACTGTAGTTCTAGACATTATCTGACGCTACAAAGTTAGAGTTCACATAGTAAGGTTTGCATTAATAGTAATTAAGGAACAGGAACTCTTTACATAAGCCACTGAAGATACCTGAGCTGGATTTATCACACTGCATGAAGCCTAACATACCCCAGCAGATGTCTTTGTAAGTATGTGAATTAGGGCCAAAAAGTTGTGTCATACTCCAAGAATCGTGCCAGTTTTTCTGCAACTACAGTAAAACCGCTGTACAGCATGTGATAGTTACACTCATCTGTTCGTAAATAAAATGGGTAACACAGCTTTCGTTTTTCCAGAACTGACAAGGCTCTACTTCAGAGTCATGTACTTACATCCTCCTACATCCTCTGTGTATACCTGCCTTTCTGTAGACTAGTTATAGGCCACTTAGTAAGTATTACCACAACAACAGTAAGGAAGAGTTCCATGCCTTCAGAAGAGAGGGTCAAATCAGTAACACGCGTATGAAATAGAAAATTTTTAGAACCTATACAGAGAGAGGGATAACTTTGCTTTACTACAGATTTTACAGCGGGGTGAAGAAAACAGCTGAACACTGTCGTAGAGCAGTTCTAGAGTATGCATATTTCAAGGCATATGCAGAATGTTACTGTACTTAAGTTTTTCTCTGCTAAGTAATACTGTCTTTTCAAACATAGCTTTTCTTTTTCTTCCCTGTTTAAATTTTCTCCACTCTTGTGGCTGCCTTACCAGTTGATGTGCTTGTGCACACTTCAAAGTTGTAACCGTTTAACTGTTTGTTCTCCAGGAGGGAACATGGTCGATGAGTATCAACAGTTAAGTCATACTGCCCATCGCCTTAAATGAAATACATACCCAAACCTAGTTGGTACAACTCTCTTGTAGCTGTATCAGGTATAGCAGCTGGAGTCACAGGTGGTTCAGAATACTTGTTTTTGTCCTTACTCACTTCTGATGAAATCAGGTAAGACAATTTTTTTCTTTCAAGTCAGCACAACTTCAGCACTACCCCTTTGCTCCAACTTCTTGCAACATCTCCTTGCTACCCAGATGTTTTTCCACACCTGTGCTTTCTGCTTCATTGCTCTTGCTCATGTGCCTGAAAAGATGGGTTAGCATGTCATAGATTCGTTTAGGCTGGAAAGACCTTTAAGATCATCAAGTCCAACCGTCATGCTTCCAGCATCTCAATAAAAACTACATCTGCATTAATTCCTATATATGTTAGTCAGGTTAGGTGATTCTCCAAGATAAGAAGTCTGTTTTCAGACTTGTTAACTGATGTTTTACATCATCACCTTAAAGAATGGAAAATTGGCACATTTGAAAAGTCTTACCAGAGAATTAAAGGTTCAAGCTGCTTGCAAGTAAGTTTCAATTGTTAGTGTTAACAGCTTGAAAACCTTGAAGTCAACAGTAATTTAAATTTCTGATAGAAACAGTCAACAGATGGAAGATCAAAGTTTATTTTCTTTTACTACCAGCATACAAAAAAAACATATTGCACATCAAACAACCAAAACAAAAATAAAAATACTCTACTAAGGACTAACATATGTAGTTTATACAGAATAAACTTTCTGGAAATTGATCTTTTCAGTAGTTCAGGTTATGTCTTAATGGACATGACTAATTCAGCTTAGTGTTAACTAAAGCTATGTTTGATTTTTAAATACTGTACAGTTTAATAAATAAACCAAACAAAGCCTCAATGTAGAACAGTCACTGCCAATGTCACCCAGTATCCCTGCAGATTATGAGAATTTAACAAATGTATTCCAGTGGTCTGCAGATTTTTCCTCTACATACAGCATTTAAAAAACATGTATTAAAACAGACCAGTTTCCAGACTAAACTAATGGAGAAATTACATTTCAGTGCAAAATATTTTAGACTGCATTTCTTTCTAGTATTCCTCAGGTGAAGAAGTGGTTGCATATTATTAAAAATGTAACAAAAGCAGCTAATGCTTTCATAAAGAGTATTATGTTAGGGATCCCCCTCACATCTTTGCCATATTTTGAAAACAAAATAACATTTCCTATAGCCAGCAATTTTGTTTATTTAAATGTTACATATACTATCTCAAGGCACATCTGATGATATATTTATAACACAGTAGGTGTCAAAGTATGTTTAACATATGATTTCTTCAGGATCCCTCCCCTTTCTGTATTCCAAAATGGAGGAACTGAAAGTGCGGTGTCAAGACTGGCGATCCATATTCTATCTTTGGCAAGCTTATACAAGCACTATTTTAAATGTAATGTAAAAGAACTGTAAACTAGGAACTTCAGTTTATGAAACACCATTCAGCACTGCTTCTTCCTGATTATTTCCATCCTCTTGAACAGTAACTTTCTTTTCATCAGGACTGTGCTGTAGTTTAGAAGGCTCATCCCCAGAAGTCGTAGCGGGACCGTTCACTGCCTTTTCGGAAGGGCTGTTTTCATCAATTGCATCTTTTGCCTTACAAAAAGAAAACCAGGGTAATATTAAAAATTGCGTAAAAATATACAGAAAGTAATCTAAATTTCCCTCTGGCTCACACAGCAACTTTGCAATAGGAAACACCTCTTGTCTGTCTGCACCAGTATCCTATCACTTGGAGCATCCTGTTGCTTACCTTGTCACTTATAGGATACTTCTGAGGAAATCATGCCAAGGTAACCCTGGGACAGCATACCCAGAATGGTTTATTTTCACAATTTCAATTTTTCTAAGACAATGAAGAAGTTAACTGAAAAGCTGAGTATTACACCCCTTTCAAAGTCTATAGTAAGATTAGATTTTGTTAATCATAAAGCAATGCATCTTTCTTATTTTGCTAAACTGAAACATAACTTGTGGCAGTAAGTTCAATGTTACTTTAGAAGTAAATGAATTCTGCTTTATTCAGAACATTCTGAATATTATTTTTTATGATATGTAATGCCATTCTGATCCTTTAAGGAGAACAGATCTCAAATCTACAATCTTTATAACATTAATTCTTTATAAAATAGTTTGTACAAGTCACTAAACATGCCACCTCGAATCCTCTATTTATAAAGTGTTTTAAGGATTAGTTCTCATCCATGGATAATTTTCACATTTTATTATGTAATGCTACATTAGTAAGTGTAATATTTTAAAATGCGTAAAGACTTAATTTGAGCATTACACTTGGTAACTAAAGTCTGCAATGATAGTCTACGAGTCAATGTCAGTTCTGGGCCATTTTTGCTTTTAATAATTTATTCTTAAACTCAAATGCATTTGTCGTCAAATGAGGGCAATCTAAATGAAGCACTCCTTTACTGTTTTGCTGCAAGGGAAGAGGAAAAAAAACCCCATGCATTAAAAAAAAAAAAATCTTCTTACCGTTTCTTTCTTGGTTTTGGCTAGTGTCTCCTTTGGAGGGTTTCTCTGTCTACTTTGAGATTCAGCTCGTGATATATAATCAGCTACTGTTACTGTTCAAGGAAAAAAATTACAGTGATGCTCACATCAGAAGTCTAATTTAGCATTAAGGCTTCATAAGCTTTTCTGTACAAGTAATGCTATAACTGGGAGACATCTCACAAAAGGCCTTCACACTTACAGGTATCAACTACATAGCAAGGATCAATTTGTTGCTGTTGTTAAATACAATTTTCACTAAAATCAGTGGTAACATAATGATCTGAAGGTCGAATCTTAACATTAATAAAATAGTAATTTTGGTCCAATTGTAAATTTTATTGGAAAATAAGGGCTTTCCCAGGTTTGAAGAGATCAGACTGCAGGCTCTTTACACTACAGACTGTGTTTGTCATTGGGATTTACTGTCTTGAGTAGTGAAGAATTTCACACTAATGAAATGAAGGCAAGTTGAAATATGAAAAGAATTGGGGGAGGTTCAGAGTATGGTATCACTTACGATAAAGCAGCATTCAAATCTTTGTTACTTCATGAAGCAATTGGCAAGAGAACTCGCCCTCTGCAGGCTCTTTACACTACAGACTGTGTTTGTCATTGGGATTTACTGTCTTGAGTAGTGAAGAATTTCACACTAATGAAATGAAGGCAAGTTGAAATATGAAAAGAATTGGGGGAGGTTCAGAGTATGGTATCACTTACGATAAAGCAGCATTCAAATCTTTGTTACTTCATGAAGCAATTGGCAAGAGAACTCGCCCTCCTCCTGGTATTCAAAATGCAATCCACACAGTTAACTCTGGCTTCTGGGTGGGTGGATTAATTGTGGTGTGCGTACAGACACTTGAAGCGGCTCTGTGTGAGCGAGCCCGTACTCAAAAGCAGGACAGCCATGTTTGCACTGTTACAGCTACGCTTACTGGATGCCGGCCAGGGGTTTTCTGACCTCTTTTCTTCTTACCACCTCAGCACATGTTCTTGTGGCCTGGTTTTGTCTTATCCCGCCCTCTTGTAACCACACCAATTGAGAGTCAGTTCTATCTTTAGAATACACAGTACTACACATTTAAAGATACACTTGTATCTTTGATGAGCTAAAGCACGTTAGAGTTGGCAAGCACTATCTATTGAACAGTACAGTCAATTATATTTAGTATATCGTGCATTCAGGTGAACTATTTTTCTGGATCTAGGAATGATTGTGCATGAAACCTACATCAGAATAGGAAGTACAGCACATGAATTTTCTGTTACAGTAATTGGACTTCTTACAGCTGGGTTCTTACGTGATTGTCAAGACCAAGTGAGTTTCTGCACAGGGAGAATTATTTCTTTAAAATGAGATTCTGTACCCAACTCCTCTAATGTAAAGATGAAGTGTGTTTTATGCGCACAGGGTAAGACAGCAATTCTTAATATTCATATATGTAGTAGGAACCCAAAAGATATACCAATGTAAATCAAATAATACAACTAAATGACTGAAGTACATTGTTAGCATTGGGGGCAGGGGGGGGAGTTCCTTCTGTCTTAATTTCACTCACTATACGCTTACTAAGTATTTATGAAGAGATTAAATTTATTAGAGCATTTTTCACAAAGACAGTATAACTAACTACCAATGCTCTTACTGTTGTATTTAAAAGTATTTATTATGCAAACTGAAAATGGTATCTTGAACAAAGACATCAACAGGAAAAAACTCAGAAATCTTGTTTGAGAACTTTTGGTTTTTTCTTAGAATACTTAGATTTAGAAGAAAAATATCATAACTTTTGTAGAGATGACTAACATCTCTTTATGTTGCTGGCTGAAATTAGTTTCTTAGAAGGAAAAGCTGAAATCCATTTTTACTTTTTCCACCCCTTTGTAAACTCGTATCACTGTTACAGAACTAGAATGTTGAGAAGTAATGTGTTACTTTGGGTTTGGTTTTTTTTTTAGGGGGGTGGGGTGTTTGGTTTTTTCCCTTCCCCCAAGTTTTAGTATAATGCAACAACTTTTTTCTTCTTAGCCAAATGCTGTATGAGCACCACAGATATAAGGAAGACAGATATGGGTGAAATTTTGAACCTGTCAATCTAGAAGACCTTCTGTTACCACCTTGCGCCATGTATGTAACAAGCATTTTCTAAATAGGGCATTATATTGGAAATTAGCTAGTTTACCTTTAACATTTCAAGTGTTAGTACACACAAAAGAAATGCAACAAGCCACAACAACAAAAAATTGGAAACATGCAATTTCATTTAAATTCCTCCTCCTTCCCACCCTCAATTTGTAGATGGCTTACAAATATTCACACAAGCCGAGGACTGACAGCAGCAGTTTGATACAGGCACGGGACTGGCAGATCCCATGTGAGTTCCCTCACATCCTGCCATTCCAACTCTTGGCTTCTCAGCCAGTGCTGAAAAGGTTGTGTCACATTCAGTGCAAGTGCACAGAGGCAAGTGGGTGCGGATCACGAACCTTCACCTTTGTCTTGATCCAGGACCACCAAAGTCAACAGCAGTTTGGCTATTGACTTCAGTGAGAACTGGATCAGAAGCGTAACTTGTATGTCCAAGCAAAAAGTTAGACATTATAAATTAGTTTCATTAGACAGATTAAGAACTTTCGTAAGTTCTCCTAGTAGAAGAAATGTCTTTCATCTTTATCTAGTAGTCTTATTAGTTATTGAGTAACCTTTTCATATTATGCAGCTATATGTAAAACAGCAGACACAACATTCTCTCATGCTTTTGACCTGAGATTACCCACAGCTCCACTCGAATTACCTGGCTGTCTATCTTCTGCCTGACCCCTGAAGCGACGCCTGCGGCTACGATTGCGTCGCTGGGGTTTTTTGTCACTATCATCTGCAATTGCAAAGTTTACCATCAACTATTTCTGATGATAAAATAAATAAATAAATTCTTCAGCAGTTTCAGCATGGGGCATTTAAAATGGCTTCTGTTAAAAAGACAGGCTAAAAGAAAAACATAATTTTATACCGAAAGCATACACAATAATGCAAAAGCTAGATTTTACTTTTTTTGCTCTTGGCTCATTAAAACATTTAGGCATATGCTTCATGACCTCAGATTTCATTTATTAAATAAGTAACCATATGTCAAATTTTAGCCACATAACCCATGAAAGAAGAGTTTTTTTCCTACATTATTAAGCAACAGATCATATTCTTGTCCCAGTGAGTATCCAGAGAATTTACTGAGGGAAAAGTACTTAAGCAGAAGCTGGGTAAAGACAAATTAACAGCTACTTAAGTAGCTTCCCTACACTGAGACTGAGGTTACCAAGGAGAAAACAGAATGCTAGTCCAGCAGTACTGTTTCTATGAAAAGAGCAGTACTAATGGGCAATGACAAGTTAAGTCTTTGGTGACTCCGTCAGACAGTTTTTACAAAAAAAGGCATATGAAAATACTAGTGGAGCTCAGTAAACAGTAGATTCCATGGCAAAGCCACGGAGGAAGTCTTTCTTTAATCAGACAGCAACCTTTAACAGAACAACGATTCATCACTAACAAAAATGAACAAGCATTTCACTACACTCACATGGACAACACATTTTTTCTTGGCTTGTTCTGGGACTATCATCCAACTGTTTACATACCTAAACCATTCTCATTAACAGAAGCTGTATCAGACTCTGTCATTCCATCCATAAGAACAGCATCTTCATCAGTCCTTCGCCGGCGTGACCTCCTGCGGCGGTTACTACTGTGGTGAGATTCACTAGCATCGGTATCCACAGTCTGGTCTGACTCTGTGTTATCAAGCAAGCTGTAAGGGTTGCTGTCCGGATCTTTAAGCACTAAACAAACAAAAAGTTTCCACCTAAGATACTGTAGTTACATATAATTTAATTTCCAGGCTGACTTACATCTGTGTTTGAAAGTTTGAAAATATAAAGCAACCTTGTGAAAAAGTATAATACACAGAACTACAGTATTTATGATTTCATACTGGCTCCTCTCTGAATCTAATCCAACAGTATGTTTTCTGAGGCACCCACAACAGACACTTGTATTATTTCATCACAAAGACTTCCAAGGTGACATTTAGAGAACTTTTACTCAAAACTGCTAAATGTGCAAAATACACCTTTCACTTCATAGCAGCATGGTACTTTCAACACTCTTGAAGTGTTATGAATTAGCACAGTCAAATTCTGATAAAACATAAGATAACTTCCATTCTATGATTTCCTCTCTCATTCTGTATCTAAACACAAGCTTAACTCAGAAGGCAGCCATAGGTAACATCCCGAAGATTTATAAACTTAAGATAATATCATTATTACGTGTGTGTAGTAGAGGAAGGAAATGAAGATCAACGTGAGCAGAAGATAAACAAATAAAAATCTAACAACATAGCGCATGACAAGAAACTATCACACAACTCTATTGAAATCCCAATGTATTAGGATGTAAATGTAAAAATGGAGTATTTTAAAACAGTAAGAGGTTATACAGAAAATTGCCAGGAACAAAAACTAAATTCAAAATACATTTGAAACACACTACCAGAGCTAATAGATGACTTGCCACCACGAGGTCCACCACGCCCACGACCTCCAGATACACTACGTCCTCGTCCTCCAGGACGTCGTCTATTGTCACGTTGATGTCTGCTTTCTCTGTCATCTTCTCCTGCCAAGGACCAGTCACTAAGTTCATCTTTTCTCTCAGATTCTGTTTCAGAGGGATTAGACAGCTCAGAGTTTGTACCTTGTACAAGAAGGAAAAGAAAATTGGAAATGAATATGAAATTTATTTGGGATTATATTCTGGTTTCAGATTCTCATAGAACTCTCCCAACCAGCATGGCTGGTTATATATACACATATGTGTTTTTTTTATATATA